ATCTATCTATCTATCTATCCCACTTTTAGTTTGTAGGTGTATAGAGTCTCAATACAAAAACATTTTATACTTAAAATAATTGCCTTCTGACTTTTATTTCAAACTGAAGAGTTAATACCCTCAGAATGACATTTTTTGTGGGAAACTGAATTTAGTGATGTTTCAAAACCCGCAGATCCCCTGCCTCAACCTCCCCAAGGAAAATCAGATTCTTGGAATCTCTCAAATTTAGCCTGAAAAGTGAAAAAAATGACGTCTGGTTTGGTTTAACCGCTGCTGAATAGCAGGCTTGGCTTTTAATTTGTGGTTTGAGTAGCGTGTTCAGGCTTGAAAAGCATGAGAGTCTCTTCCTCAGTCTCTGCAAACAGTTTAAATGTGTTGCATCATGTCCTTTTCATGTAACAAACCACTGCAACTTCTGCTTACTGCACCAGTACAACGGGACCATCAGTGTGTCCCTGTGAAAACATGATTACAGGCAAATAATCACAAATTCACCATGAAGGAGAGGGATGATGGGAGAGGTTTTTCTTGTTGTGCATGCTCTGGTCAGGGAAAAGCACCAGGTGCCTCGTGATTTTCAACTCACCTCTAAGCCAACGTAACAGGAAGTGGTCATGCTGAGCAGGAAGTTGAGGAAGAATGTCTTGTATCCTCTCTCGAAACTGTAGCCAGAGGAAGGAGAGACATGTGATTGACACATTGTCAGGAAAATCTTTAATTAATCTTTAGAGTTACTGACTGTGGAGGTAAAAACAATCTTGAGAAAGGCAGTACTTTTCATTTATTTAAAGCTGTTTATATTTTTACTCATTCACGTCAGATTAGTAGGTTTTGTTTCTTGATGCTGTTAAAGCTTGTCACGTACATATTCAATGGCAACCTGCAACAATGTATGTCTGTAAACATCTTGTGCATTGGTAGAAAAATGTTGGAAGCACACTACTGAATACATGGGTCATCAATAAGGTGGACATGTGTGTCCATAGTTTTAGCAATATAGTATAGTTTACCTTAGCTAAACATACAGCAAACAGATTCCCTGCAAATTCACTTACTATCTTTATCATTGTATGGAAAGAGTGATGGGGAAGTGAATGATAAACACAGGGACTATGAAGTATAGTAACACTTTTTCTAATAAGACAGTCTTTAAAAAGAGTGCAACTAATGGATTTATTCATGTTAAATGGCCTAAATAAAAACTAGCCCAAATGTCTCTTCTGTATTGCATTAAAGCAATGTAATACAAATTAGTTAAGTTTCATTTGTAGAAACCCAAGACTAAGTGGCTGAATTTACCTCTCTAAAAACTGAATAACACATTATCATTTGTAAATTAAAATATGAAAAACATTATTCCCCCCCTCCCTCGTTGGAAATGACGCCCTTACTTTGCCGGTAGATATTTATGACAGGGCACCCTTTGTGGTAGCCTATGACACTGCTTATTATGTAACAATCATAGGGATACCAAGAATGATTATTATGGAGAAGACATACTGCAGCACAGAGCACAATATGTTCACTACATGAGCCACTACTATAACTATCGTTATTATTATAATAATATGAATGTATTTACCTGCTCCAGTGCCTCAGCCTGTTTAGGACTGAGGTCTCCAACTCTTCCGCTCATGTCTGCGACAACAAGATACAAGATAAAGACACAACTGCTCCAAAGTCAAACTAACAGACGGACGGACTGGCGGACGGGTTTGTGTCTCTGACGCCTCACGGTGATGCTCATTCACGGCTCCAGTATCCTGTTATGCCGGCTGTCAACTGCCTGCAGGTGACAAAAACGCCCCGAAGAAAAAAAAAATGTAAACACGACATTCGTTAGTCCAACCGGCTGACTCCGGCCAAAGATAGGATAAATGACAAGAGGATTACTCGAGACAAGAAGAAAGAACCACAGGGAGGAGGAATCCCGCCCCTTCTCCAAACTAACCTTTAATATTCGTGAAAAATACAGGTGCATTGTTTCAGTATTCTAAACTACAAATAAATCTAATAAAATACCAATCAAATGCAAACAGCCTGTCATTTTATTAGAGAAACAACCTTTTTTTTTTTAAATGTTAGAATATGTTTAGCATTCAAGTTCAGCTCAGATGGAGCTATGATGGCACATGTACCTGTTAATAATCAGAATCCAGCCTATACAGATGCTATCTAGACATATCAATATATATGTAAATCAAATGTGTGTAAAATCACATAAACAATCATACTGATCGAAGCAATGAACATCTGCAATGTGTTCCACTTCCCACTGCAATACATTTTGTTAGTTTTTTTAAACAGCTTGATTGAAATGATTAACATGGACTTCATTTAGCTGAAAGTCGATAAACAATATGATTGATTAATTGCTAAATCCTACCAGTGCATTAATTAAGTTAATTATGTTTTTGTTTTTGTTTTTTTACATTTGACAACAAAGGTGGCGAGTCAGTGTCTAGTGAGTGATGCATCTGTTTTTAAAGACAATAGACGATCTTTAGTGTTAATCTGAAAATCTCACACATGCGTACATACAACAGGAAGAATTAAAACATTTTTTTCGTTTTACTCAGTGTTTGAGTCATTCACATCAGCTACTACTGCTACTCTTTAAATTTCACACAGTGAAAGTGTCTAAATACTAGGCGACATGATGTTGTCACACTGCGCAAGTGTAAAACGTGGACAATCGCTTAATGTTTCGCTCACTCACGCAAAATATCAGACTATGACAATGAACATTATTACTCGTCGTGTTAACAGAAGTGAAACACTGGTCTGAAGGCTTCATACAGCACCGTAGCTGTGATAATAGTAGCGTCTCTGAGCCGTGGCTTTAAAGCGAAGAAGGGAGTACGGGAGAGCACTCTCTCGAGCTGCTACATTCGTCTCTGGTTGTATAAACTCAACGGTGAAAAAGTTGCAACGAAAGACGAAAGAAAAGCGAATTTTACGCAAAAGATCTCATTTTCTATTTCAGTACGGTATATATTCAACTAAAACAACTCGATTTTGGATTGAATTTGTGGAAAAGCATCCCAAAGTCCCTACCGTTAAGCAGGTTTATACACCAAGATAACAATTCTCCCGCTTCTTCCGGTCGTAGCCGGAAGCTGCCTTCGCTTGTTTACATTCTTCGAGGGGTCTAGCTAACTGGCGAACAGCAAAACGCTAGCAGCTTTCCCAAAATGATTAATAACAATTGATCAGGTTTGTGTATTTACAGCAGTTTCCACTTGTATTTTCTCTCTGTTGTTGCTCGAGCCATGGTGTCAGTTCGCTGCTGGTGCTGTCTCTGGGTAATGTTACCGGTCCTCTTGCTGCGGTGGCCGGGGCTGCTCGTCACGGCGGAGCAGGTCGCTCTGGTGGAGGTTTCTCTGGAGCAGCGGCCCGGTGTCAGCGCTCTGCTGCAAGGGGAGGTGGTGGAGTCCAGCAGGGGCAGCAAGAGCTCCGAGCACCGGGACGAGGACCGACAGGAGCTGGAGGGAGAGCTGGTCCTGGTGAGTTGGTTAAAGGGGAGTCACGTATTGCTATATCGCACGGTTGTTGTTCTGGACCGTTATTTTTTTTAGTAATTAATATAATTTAAAAAATAATATAAAAGTTACCAGAGAGCACAGAAACCCAAACATGATGTAACCATTGTTAACAATGATAAGGTGAAGTTTAAATATATATATGATCAAAGACAAATCCTGATTTACAGTAGGAAGTAAACAGGAATGTGAGCTATAATACATTTATAAAATACAGTGATTTTTCAGTCTCCCTCTTTCCTCCCACTGCTGAGGAGCCCATGAGCAAGGCAGCGTCACTAGTGCATCTGCAGGGAAGCTTTGAACACCCACCCACAGCCAGCTGCATGGCCAGTTCATGTTTAAAGACACTATCAGAATTTCCACCCAGGGGTGTTCAGCCTGCTTTCTGTCCTCAGGTTCAGGATCAGGAGACTCAGGAGAGCGGAGGAAAAGACGAGGACAATGCCAAAGAGCAGGAGGTATGGATCGGGGTGGTGCCTGTGGAGATGGACGACAGCAAGGCCTCCACCGGAAACCAGGAGTCCTTCGCCGATGCAATGGTCAATAAAGTAAGAGGTTCAACTTAACTGTAAATCTGTAGTGGATTTTGTTCACACTGTTATGGACTCTAACTAAACATGCATCCTCTCTTTTAAAGATGAAGCGAGCCTTGGTCCTCGGAGCGTCTGCGCTGATCATCCTGGCTCTCAACCAAAACAGTGTCAGTGAGGTAAATCTGCATAGACTCAGTCTCCAACCTGGACCCTATTTCCTGGACCTGAGGTCTAAGCTGAGAATTTAAGCTTAAGAGACACTTTGTCTGGGTCATGTTTACAATCACAAATCTGCCTCTTACTGTTGTAGATGGATCTGTCTCAGGTGCTGTCCAAGCCCATCATTGTGATCCAGACGTCTGAAAATGTCACCAAGCTGATTGGAGCTCTGCTCAGGTACAAAACACCGTATTTATTACAGATACTTTCACATGAACCTTTCCCTCATATGACTGATAAAAAGCAACAGGATACGCTTTTATTAATCAGATGAGTCACATGTCACATGCTTCCTCAGTTTGTGGGGAAATAATGCAGTGGTTTGACCTGCTTATCAGTAATCTACATGAGTAATTCATGACCATAAAGCAAAATCTAAACATATCCAACTGTGTACTGAACCTCAATACTTTTTGAATTGAGTTCATGTAGAAACACATTCTTATTGTTTCTTTATTCTTTGAGCTGATATTTCCTGTATGAGATGATAAACTTGTTAATTTTATACTGTTTCTTGGATAGGGTGAAAAAAAAAAAGCTTTCCTGTTAACAACTCTGGAATAAACACCACCAAAAAAAATGTTCCCTGTAGTCCAGCACACAACCTTTCGTTCATGAATCTCATTATGAATGAAAGAAAACGTACTGTTGCCCTAATCTGGTTCACAGTAATCAGGCTAGTGTGTGAACGTAGTGATGGAGGATCTTTATTTGCACTAAATGGCAGTTGTCTCTCTCTACAGGGGTCTTCAAGCCACAGCAAAAATCACATACAAGACCATTCTTCAGGACAACCTGGTGAGCTCCTCAATGTATCAGCTGACAGTGTTTTTCTCAGTTGTTAGCACCCTCCAGTGGTGAGTGAACAGATGACAGGCTGAGCTGACAGTGAGCGCATGCTGCTGTGTGTTCGGGCAGGGAGCCACGCTCACGCTGTGGTCCAGCTGCGGTCGATCGAGAGGAGGTCGCTACGGAGAGTGGCAGGGGGTCATCTGCACGGGAGAGACCAACTCTCAGGTCCAGGTGGGGGAGCAGAACGAACACATCATCAGCCCTGTTAACATGTTTTCTTAAACCTGCTGCAAGACTTCCACTGATTTCACACATCAGTGTTTTTACATGTGTTGAGGAGTGCTACAGCCTATGTGAACAACGCTGTATGGAGTCTGATAAACTATAATTTTAGTCATTTGTTGGTGTTTACTTTATTAAAGTACAATTGATATTACAATAATAAAGATATCACATTGTAAAAATACAATTTGCCACGCAAAATGGTCTGCTGCATAGTCAGCAGCTCATTTGCATTTTCTCCTCTTCTCTATTACCGGAGCCATGTTGTGAGTTGTGGTGTGTTACAGACTGATAGAGTGTTATTTAAACGAGCAGTAAAGGAACCAGATGATAAAGTAATGTCTTCTCTGATTGTCCGTAGAAGTACCTGCAGCAACTGTGGGACACCGTCCTCCTGGTGGCTCTGATCCTCAGCACTGGAGTCATCGTTCAGGCTCGCTGGCAGTACCAGGACCACCAGCTCAATGACAACTTGGAGGTATTCAGAGGTCTTTGCTGCTGTTATCACAGGTTATTCTTTGGTTTCACTGCAGTAAAGTTTAATAGGAACTTCATGAAAAGATCAGATCATATCTTCTGTGAGGTGAACCCAGAACAAAAAAAACAAACAAAAACAGCATGACATGTTTACATCCTGCTGTGTTGTATTCCTCAGCTCCTTCCTAAACAGGACATCCTGAAGAGAATGTCGTCCCTGAAGACCAAAATGTATCGTCAGCCCAAACCGTGGTGTGACCCGTCCCAGCCCGTGGAGACGGACAACTGTGCGGTCTGTCTAGAGCCGTTCAACAACAACCAGGTCAGCCTACACTCCCTGATTTAGGCTATATATTTTATGTTAAAGTTACAGAGGTATATAGTCTAAGTGCAAGATTCTGTAGTGATTTAATATGAACTGTTGTTGACCCAGTGTTTGCGAGTGCTGCCGTGTCTTCATGAGTACCACAGAGATTGCGTCGACCCCTGGTTGCTGCTGCAGCACACCTGTCCTCTGTGCAAACGCAGCATCCTCAGTGAGTTTACATCACAGCATCACACACATGCAAGTTTTTAGAGAATGTTTTACAGCTCTCTGGTTCAGTTTTCACCAACATTTTTGAGAGGTGTGGTCAGATTCCTCTTTTGCACCTGTAACAACACCCACTAAGGATGTCACAGGGTCCTGGAGGACACCTGTACATCACTGCAAACCACCAGAGGTCAGCAAAAACAAGATTTTTAGGGGGTGTTTAATTCAATATATACACTAATGAAAACCTATGTTTATATCATATTCAGTTTCTGCCAACAGATTCTCCTAAATGATACACACTGGACCTTTTTAAGACCTTATTTTTTTTTACCAGTGGCACTATTACACAGGAATACAACAGTACAATTCCACTGGCTTTAGTTTTAACAGTTTTTATTTTTGTGTTTAATGGCTAAAGCTGCCCAGCTGGAAAAAAGTGGCTTCTGAAAAGATTAAAATTTCAATCCTATTAGGGAGTTTTTTTTAAATTATACAACTGTAAAAATAGTGTGTGCTGATCAAAGCCTGAGCCTCACATGACCCTCTGCCTTTTCCTTTAATATTTCTTCATTATTTAACCAGGGAAATACCTTAACATTGAAATAGTAATGTTAGATACTGTCAGACCTGTTTAAGATCCAAAGATATTTAGTTTCACATCATAGAGGACTTAAAGAACTAGAAAATATTATAGTAAGGAAGGGAACCAGGGAATATTTGGCATTTTAATAAATTTAGAGTGGTTGTCTGCCTTTGTCTGATCAGTCTTCCAATGAAAATACTATAATAATAATAATAATAATATAAATCAATTTAAAAAATCTAATTTCTTTTGAGCCATTAAATCTAGTAATTGATTTATTGTATCAGCTTTAGATTTAAATGTCTGTCTTTCCTGTTCAACCCTCTCCAGGCAGCGTCTGCAAAGACAGCTAACAGTCGCCTCACCGCAGAAGCAGCGGCTCTGGGATTCAGTCTCATCTCTTCCTCGGCAACACTCCAGTAGCCGTATTTTTTAAACTGACCTCAATCTTCCTCCTTCCAGCAATGGATTGTGGGAGCAAATATAAACTTCTCACAGCAGCTGGCTAGCCATCTGGACTGTGGAGCAGTCCAATTTTGATGCCTGACCTTCCGGTGGGTGCTGCAGGTCTCACAGACATACAGTGGTAGTGTTAAACCCAATACTATGAAGTACTGTACCTGTACTGTTGTGTGTGGACAGTACCTCTTCCTTGGATCATGTTACTGTACAACTGTGGAAATATTTGTTTGTATGTGTGATATACAGCAGTGAATATGTGACTCTTCACACAAACACCATCGGCAAACACTGATAACAAGAGCGAGTTTTCGCGAGTCAGTAGTTTTTGCATGGACATTCAATGCTTTATCGTTTTAAGCATGGACGTATGGATCGACTTTAGGTCCTAGTGATGTCAGTGACCTACCCATCCGAGTGGACTAACTGACCATTTAAATATGACTGATTTCATCTTGTGTCCAAACTCATACTTTGCTATTAAATGTTAGTCCGAGGTTCTGTAGTTAGTTAATAACTGTGCTATAGTCGGTACAGACGTGGGAAAAAATGTTTGCACTTGTCCTTTAATATGCCTTATGACTAAACTGCAGTGTGAGAAACTCAAACCACAAACACACTTCCTGAATTGTACTTTAAAACTTAAGTTGTGAATGTTACAGTAGCTATTTTAGTTGCAGCTGAACTGTTTCAAATGATTAGTGATAGAGATGTTACACAGGTAGGTTGGTCAACATTTGGTAGAGGCCAGATCTCAGTTGGATTTTCCTCCTTCTGTAAAAACTTTTAACTGCTTCCATCCTTTTAGTAGGTCTGTTTGAAGAAGTCAAAATCAGTACTGCTCTAATGCTTTCTGACAGAAGTTCATCTCATAAACCATGTGAAAAACACATCCTCTTATTCCTCAGACGTACGGCTGTAGCTACTGTGAAGTTAAATCCACTTGATCTTCATTTTGTCAGTGATGACTCAAACTCGAAGGATGTCAAAAACATAGTATTATTGTATTTATTTTATGTTTTTTTGCAATGTCAACTCCAAAAAGCATTTACATGTGCTTTTTTTGTTACAAAATGCTCCGATAGATCTGTTCTCTTTATAGAAAATAGTGTGTGCATGGCAACATGTAGGAGGTCTCCCCACAGCTCATCTGAGAGACACGAGGCCTCTCTGTACAGCGCGTGCTTCCAAACACAAACACAACAGCATCATTATGAGATGGTCATAGTGTCGATTTCTTTTTCTAGACTTATTTGTTATGTTCCTAAGAAGGCTGGACAACAGTGGTGTGAACTGGGTGGATGTCATCACATGCATGCACTCAAACATTACATGCAAGCAGCCGTCGCACAAGCTACTCGTACAGGACGAGTATTGAGAGCAACACAGTCTGCCGCTGATGTCCAGACTTGTTCACCAGGTCAATAATTGTTCTTCCAGCTACAGAACCAACTGCAGTCTCTCCAAAACACTGGATGTTGCTTCCTTTTATTCCTATGCTGTCTAGTTCATAATGATGATGATGTCAAAGATCGATCACTCTGGATCTTAATAAATTGATTTGTTACTTGGCAAAAATAAAGTCTCATTCTTTGTCCTCAGTCTGTGGCTCACACTCAGGACTTTGGTTTCTAATGAGCTATAAAATAAATCATTTGGGCCAAAGACCTGAATGTCTTTCAGGCTCAAACACTAAAAGTAGATGTTCAGAGTCTCAAACATTTCAACAAGCTGCTTGGCAGCTTCTGATCACAAAGGGCCAAAATATGGCCATGCCAAAGAAAGTCAGTAAACTAATGCAACCTCTCAACTTCCTCAGTCAACAACTAAAAAACCCTGGCTTTCTTTTTGAGCAAAGACGGCAACTTTGGTGCTAAGGTGTGATTGTGGGGACAAATTGGGGGCACCAAATTCACAACCTTTAACCCAAAATAACAACTAGCCCCAGTTTTTCTTTCCCTTTACTGACACACCTCAGCCACCTTCCTGCCGTCCCTCCCTCCTACCATCAGTCTGTTTGGTTCCAGCAGCAGGTCATGATCACGCGGGTCAGGAGGGGATCATGCCTTTGTTCCTTTTGCGGTCGGCCATGGAGCGGCGGTTGTGGTTTGACACGCGACTCTTGTTGGCCTCCTTTTTGCGTCTGTCTAGGAATGTCTCCGTGGTTTGTCCTTGGCCTTTAGGTTGGCCCACCACGTTACTGGGACGTGGCGGTGGTCGGAAACTGGAAGGGGATGAAGAGAAGTCAAAGGTTTGTCTTTACAAATTATTATTATTATTTTTTTTTAAATTAACTTTTTTATTGATTATTGTCTTTACAAATTAACACGAAGCACTGAAATAATTATCTTATAAACGTATATATAACGGACAGATCATTCCAATTTCTACTCAGCTTTCTCATTTGATACAGAGTTGTATATTTTAAATGGAAGAAATATCTTACTTTTAGGAAGAAACTTCTTGGATGGAAACAGTTGGACAGAGTGACAGCAAAGTGAATATTGACTTTACCCTTTCCTTTGCTGCATGGTAGCTCTTCTAGCTTCAGCCCTCTCCCTCAGCAGAGCTGGGTCCTGCACAAACTGGTCCCTGTTTACATTGTTCTGAAATAAAATGGATTCACATATAAAGAAATGTTAGAAAGTCATAAGAGAAAGCAACATGCAGATGTAGTGACATTACATTTGTAGCTAAAAGCTAAGACCAAAACTTTTTTTACAATGGGTAAAAAAAAAAAAATGTTTCTGTGATGTTGGATCTGCCATTTTGGAATAATTTCTGTACCGGTATAGGATCTTCCTCCTCTTCATCTTCACCCTCCTCGTCCTCCTCTGGTTTGTTAGCTTTCCTCAGTACCTGTGGGACCGTGAAAGGCCTGCAGGAAGACACAAAGCGAAACTGAAAAAAGTACACTGACTGAAACATATTCAAAATGTATAAAGCCATCTGTCGAAAGTAAAACGTGTTTTTCCAGCTCTGCTTCGCTGTGTCCTCCACTCTGTCGTGACCAAAAGACACTGACACCAAAAATGCAACTCTGCGATTTACCTTCTGTTCAGTAAGCTGTCTCCATCAAGGTCATTAGCTCCCACTTGGTTCATGTCGTAGGTGTCGTCGTACTCGTCGTCGTAGTCATCCAGGCCATAGGTGGCTGCACTCTCACCGGGTTCAATGATGACCTCGTCCACCACCGTCTCGTAGGCCTGATAACGAGCTCTCTGCTCCGCTATGTGCTGCTTGTCGTTCAGCATCTCTCGGGCGCCCTCACCTTTCCTGCAAGAGTAAGAAAATACGCCAACGTTACATTTGACCTCAGACAGGCTGAGTTTGTAAGGGAAGTATAACAAAAAGAGTTAGTGACATTTGTACATCCTGTTTGGCTTTGCTTTAACTGTTTGGCAGTTTGTTATTCAAATAGGTACATAAAAAGAAGTCCAGGGCTTTTAATTTTTTTTAAGAGAGCATCTCCTGTGTGTGCTCACCTCCTGCCCTTCCAGATGCGGGACATGTCCACCTGGTCCCTGCGGAAGACGTCAAACTCGTCATCATCAAACACGTTGGATCTGACGTTCAGAACATCTGGAAGATCCTCCTTCACTGGCCTGAAAGAACAGAAGAGCAACGGGGGTCAAACGCAGCAACTTATTTTCAGTCCATCTACCCCTACACATTCGATTTGTACACGTAAGTCTAAAAAAGTATCAACAACACTCAACTAAGCAATTTATATGAGGATAAGCTCCTTTTTTCTATTTTATATCAAATTTTTCATCAGACTATTAAACTATTTTACAATGTCACTCTGCAAAAGACATTTTTTATTATGTAAAAACACAATCTTCTCAGAACTTATTTTGGCAGTGTTTGTATGAAGTCTTACTATTGTAAATTTAGAAATGTGCATCATGATGACATCTCACAAGATAAACAAAAATTAATGGATACTCAGTTAACAAAATGATACAAAATTGACCTTGTTTTGAACAATAGAGCAGCGCTTTCCACTTGAGAATCTCAGCAGCACAAGCCACATGGCAGAAAATATCAGCATTATATGTTGAGGCCATCCCAGTGTGCAGTGCTACCTTGGCATGGCTCGGTCCAGTTTGTCCAGGTTGGGGGCCAAGCGGTCCTCCAGGATGTTGTTGATGACCAGCTCAGAGTTGTAGTTGTACTCCTGCAGGCAGGCCAGCAGGAAGCCTTCACCCAAATCAGGCAGCAGGTCCCTGATACATGTGAGCAGAGACTCCAGCTCTGCCCCGCTCACTGAACACACCGCACCCTGATGACACACACACACCGAAAATAATAAAATACATACAATACATTGTCAGTTTGTCATTCTACGGTTTTATTGACTTTATTCTGTCTGAAATTACTTGTTTTGTTGTAGTTTGCTGCGTCTCTCTTTTTCTATTAGGCCCATTAACATGTTAGTACAGCTGCAATGTGGTAAAAACTTTTTGGAAGGAGGTTGACATGGGTATTTTACTGCTAAGAAGAACAGACTTAGTACGCAGTCTCTTACAAGCTAAGAGAGGAATAGCAACAGGGTGGAAAAATGTGAACAAACCAAGTATGAATCAATATATTAAGGAGCAATCAACATACTAATAATATAAACTAGCATACATTACTAACAATAAGAATTTGAAAATATCTGGGGGAGTTCTTGTAACAAAATGTTGGTAGTGATCAATAATGCCAAAGATCTTCTGCCTACTCTATGTTCACGTTTAAATGACTATGTTTTTATTTACTTGCCTATTCATTTGATAATATACTGTATCTGCTGCAGTGAAATCCATTTTATTAATATTCCACTATTATAATTAAAAAAAATAAAAAATAAAAAATAAATGATGCTTTTCTCCATCACATATGATAGTAAACTGAATGTTTTTGTTTTTTGGAGTGTAGGTCATACAATACAAGACATTTGAAGACATCATTTCTTGCAGTGGGAAACTAAACATTTTCTTTCAGTTTATAGACCAAACATATTGCAGTAATAATTAGAGAGCTCACATTGTTTCCTATTCTTGGAACATCCAACATGGCCTCTGCTCCCCTCAGGCTCTCTTCTCCCTCTCCTCCTCCTCCAGGCCCTCGGGCCTCCTGAAGTTTAAAGCCAGCTGAAGCGGCAGCAGCACCTGATCCCTGATAGGCTGAGGGGACTTTGTGCTGAACCTGTGGTTTCTGTCGTCCAACACTGTCCCAGGCACTTTCCACCCCCTGGAGCAAGTAGGAAGTCCGGGTCTCATCACTGAGGGAAGCAGGTGGTTAAGGAAGTGACTAAACAAGTGTGGCATTACTATATACTAATACTGAAGCCTATTGATCTTTTAGTATTAAAAAACATTAGAAAAAGAGTGAAAAAGGATCATTGCAATACTCTAGAGCTCAAGATGAGGTCATGACATGTCCAACCAACTTTCCCAATAATCTCTAATGTAAGACCAGCAAAAGCATAAAATTCTCATATTTCAGAAAATGAAACCTATAAATATTTTGCATTTTTGCTTTAAAATGAAAAAAAAAAAATCTCATCAGGATAGTTGCTGATTAATTATTTAATCTAATCAAAGCAGCTCTATAGCCCCCTAGTATATTGTAGTGGCAATGTTTCATTTTCTCTATAGCACAATTCAGAATAGAAAACATTTCCTTGTAACTTGCGGTCTTGAAATTAAACTTCTTCTTTAACTAGATCTTCTCTAAATGAGTAAAAGTTAAAGCTTCACACACGTAAAAACTACATTTCTGTTGATCTTTAAGAAGATACTTAAATGGAAATACACGCCCCCAGTTTTTATGCATCTTTTTTCTTGAATTTGACTTGCTTTCCTCTGCTCGCTTAAAAAAACCACATCTGTCACAGAATAACAAGTTCTGCAGTCAAGTGATAAGGATACATGACAGGGAGGGCCTGTTGTAGGAGGCTGACATCGTCTGCGATGGGGAACTGCTCATCATAGTCTGTCAAGAACCTGGAAGGACAGAGAAAGAAAACAGCAAACCTTTTCATACACTTTCTTATTGTACATGAAGAGATAAAAGTGAAACACTAGCCCCTCGGAGCTTTAGAGGTGACCTCTGACCTTAACCATCATTTTACCTTTTCTCAGTCAGAAAAGATGTGAAATGTGAAAGGAGCTCCTCTGCAAATGCTAGCATGTTTTCTCCCCTGCAAGGCAAGAAACATTGGCAAAATTCATATGTGTATGTGTAATGCTAATTGTGCTAAGATTCATGTTGAGAGTTTGGATGTCTCACCCCTCCAGGATTGGCTGTAAACAGGTATGATGCAGTAGCAGGTGAGCCGTCTCCACCATCTTGCGACAGGAGTGGGACAACCTCTTCCACAAATCCTCCTGAAGACTAAAGCAGGGTTTGTGGGATTATTCACAATCATTCATTAATTTATTCAGCAAGTGGGTCTCAATCTCGTTTAGCACTTCGTTATCGCCTTTTTAAAAAGTATTAAATGCAGTAGAAACTCACCCTTTATCATCAAAGTTTCTCTTCCTCAACGCCTTCTCGAGGTCAGGCACAGCGGTCTCGTAGAATGAGGTCAGTCTGCCAGGAGAGAAATTGCCACTATGATTAAATCTTATAGCAAAACACAACAAACTCAGTCCTACAAAAAAACCCGATTCAAAACCATCTCTTGAGTTGCCGGTAAGGTAATGCTACAACAAACTCAAAATAATAACGTTCAGGTACATACACAAAGACACCCATAAAACTATGATTATTATGAGAAGAATATTTTTGTTGCACAATGATTTACTACAGTTTGTCTCTTCTCCCTCTCATTTATTTCTATTTACTTGTTTAATCATTCGTCCATTCATTTTTTATTGTATTTATCACAAATAACATTAATGACCCAAATCATTTTTTGCCTGACCTGACTCCACACAGCTACAATACAATGCATCTTCTTCATGCATGACTATTTTTATATTCCAAATGTTGTCAGCCTTATCCAACCCTACGTTCCTATTTGTCATTCCTGTGTCTTTCTTGTTAAAAAATGTGTGTGTATATAAAAAAACTATACTGCCAGTTTACTGCATCTGTTTACCTGCTGAGGAAACCGTTGGAGTGGAATCCGGAGCAGGCGGCAGGGAAAATGTCCAGGAAGGCATGGATGGTGGTGGTTGAGTCACACAGGTACAGAATGAGGTCTACAAGTTCCTAGGACAGAAAAGAAAACGCATATATTATTAATGACATGAAGCAGTAGTATTGCTCTCTGTGTATGCAACCAGCCATGCCCTGGTTAAGGTCTTAATCCAGTTAAAACTTTTAACATTAAACACTGATTGTTACATACCCTTCATGTCACGATTATTTAACAGTCCACACAGTTCAACTTCCATCAATGCCCATTTTAGTGAATATTAGACATTAAAAATGTTCTGCTCCCTGCAATGTTGTCTTGCTGGAGTTTTAAATTCTTACATTTAAAAAATGTATTCCTAATCAGGCTAATTAGCTTCATTTTTAAGGAGGGCCTGATTTATTCACTGAGGCTTAAAGCAGAAAGTCGTCCTCCGCAATAGATAGCAAGATGTTTCCACGCAGCCTGTTAAATACTACGTTTATATGTGAGAATGGGCTTGTGCCAACACATATTTACTAGACATCGTTCATTAGTATCACGTGCAGTAATAAACTGTTGATGTTTGTGTTTGTCTGACCTGCTGGCTCATGGTCATGGCAGTGGGCTGTTTGTGTGCGCTCAGCTTCATCGGCTCCATGGCTGTGGCTCCTTCACAGTACAGACCACACTTATCCAGGATAGTGTCAAACACCTGAAAGTGACAAAGAGTAAAAGGTGGTGAGAATGAGGAGGAGTTAATTAACCTAAATAAACTTTCAGTATAAACATCCAGTTGCATGTTTAAAACCTGATCTTACCTGTAACACAGTGGGCACCGTCTCATCCAGGTCACTGTAGTAAGATGGCTGCTGGGTAAAGATGTTCTCTAAAAAATGTTTTAAAGAGAGCGACAAACATATAAAAACTCATCTTCACTACATATCTTAATCTAATGGCTACATTCCCCATCAATATACCACTCGATGATTTAAACTGAACCATAACAAACAACTCACCTATCATCTTATGCAGCAGCTGGCTGTTGCCCTTTCCGAAGAGAACACACAGATCCAGAATTTTGGGAATATCGAACAAGAAGTTGTCATAAATAATTTCTCCAAACACAGCCGGGGTGATGAAGTTATCCTGTGGAAGAGGAGCACAAGGCAAACACAAGGCAACAGGTCAAACAGTAGGACACAAGGCCTTGATATGCCACTCCCAAGTAGTTAACAAATCAAACTAGAATTGCTGTTTCTACTGATTAGCAGATCATGAATCCCTCCCTAGACTGCATATGTGGGTACAGCTGCTACCTTGGACTCTTTATGTGTGGCCATCCTGAGGAAAGTCAAGAAGACCGCCCTGTGGACGGAGCGCTGCGTGTCGGCCACCGCTGGGGAGGAGGGCAGGGTGGAGAGGTCGAGGCCGCGAGGAGCGAGATGCAGGTATGAATCTAGGCATCGCTGCAGAGACTCATCAAACACCACCTGGTGGAGGAGACACACCAAAGCAGAGGAGGGAGGGAGAGGAACTTTACAAGGAGGAAAGAGACTAATTCTATGAGCTGTCACTGAAGCGAATAATAAATAATGTAAATTATTTTTTACAGCTGCCACGCACCTTGTGGGTTACTGAATGGAAAGGGAGATGTGGCTCAGATAGATGTTTACATGTTAGCAGTCCCTCACCTGACACCAGAACTTGTCATGGGGCAGTGCGAGCAGCCACTCCAGGTCCTCTGTGATGAATTTGGCACGTTCCAAAAACTCCTCCACCTCAGCGGGAGAGCCATCTTCTGGTGGGGACTTGTAAGGCACAAAACAGCGCTCCTCCTTCCTGGCAGGGTGCTGATGTTGAACAGAAAGCACAGGGTTTGATTCCGATAAAAAGATTATTGCTGGAGCAGTACGGACTGCTGTTTGAGTGTGTGCCTGTAATACAGTGAGGTGGTATGACTCACCAGTGCAGGCAGTGTGTGCTCTCTCCCCAGCGGGCCAGGCTCGGTCACCTGCTGCTCATCCAGCGGCACTCGCGCACAGGCCATGGTTTCTCCCTCTCTGGTTTTTTTTTTCCTACCAAATTACACCAACATAAAAACATTCAATATAGTTGTAGTTTTTTAAAAAGGTATACAGTTTCTAAGTACTGAAGTATTGTACCTGTTAAATCATGGAGCACAACAAGCCTTGATAACTCTGTTTATGTTATTAGTATAGGAAATATGTCATTAGAGTATATAAACATGTCTTGCAGCCCTACTTACTACTTTATTATGTTTTGCTTATACTAAAACACTTCAATCCCACAGACTGTCCAATCCAAACCAATGCTGTGCAGTAAAGCACTGTTATAATCTGAGTCTAACTTGCAGGAAATGTGCACAAAGCCACATACTGTCTTGGTTTTAGGTCTAATAAGGGTGGTGAACACCACAAATTGAATATGCAACCTATCTAATGATGTATGAAATATCTTATTCAAGCACAGCTGTTGAATTGTACACGTGTTGAGGTTAGCTGTTGTGTCAAACATCTGTATAAATTGGACAGTGTGAAAAAAAAAACGTATTTATGGGGGACTTTTAATCCAGACATAGTAAACATTTGAATGAATGTCTTATCCCCAGTAATAAGTTAACTTCTAACGGTACCACAGTGACATTTAGAGGACATGAACAGGGTGAATCATCAACCTTTACCTCCTGTTGACACATAATCCGCTGAAGTATCTGAACTGCAAACAGAGCTACCATTAGCTAAGGTTAGCTGACCCGCTAGTGAGACCTCAGCTGATTAGTTAGCCACGTTAACGTTAACCAATGAAAAGTGAACAATAACCTGTTAACCATTCACGTTACAGTAACGTTACCATAGCTGTAACGCAATGTGTTTAACTGTCAGCTAACTCCTGACTGAAAGACGACGTAGTCCGGTAGGATAACTCGCTAGCTGTCCGATATTTATTTCTTATTATATTATATTATATAAGTTAAACAGACTGTGAGCACATCAATGAATGGACAGAGTCTAACGTTACTGTAACGTGGCTAACCAGCCGGTGACTTTATCACCGTCCTCTGGTGACTCGTATGTAATAATTGTAGTTATACGTTACAGGAAACAAGTTGATGTATCTGCTCACCTCTCAATGTGTCTGTCTGTGACTCTTCTCAAGCCATCTCGTTAAAGTCGTCACGGCTTTCAGCAGTTTCAGTTTCCAAACGTTGTCTAATCACCTGCGCTGAGCCAGGAAGTGACATGTTTGGGTCTTTTCTTCTTGCATGACGCATGCGCATTCAAACTACACATGGCCGATGTTTAGCGCCACCTTGTGGGCACCAGAGCGCAGCATCAGTATTACTCTACTACTGTAATCCAGTGGTGGAAGAAGTCCCAACTTCTTTACTCAAGTAAAAGTAGAAATACCACAGTCAAAGTCCTGAATTCAAAATGCTACTTGAACAAAAGTACAGAAGTATTTTCAGCAAAATGTAGTTATAAAGTACAAAAGCAAAAGTACTCATTGTGCAGAATGGCTCATTTCATAGTAATAGATTATTATATTATCCTGGTTCTATCACTAACAAAGCATGTAAAAGCATCATAGTACTGCATCATATCAATAAAGAGTTTTTTGAATGTAAAAAGTAACTAGTTATTATAAAGATCAAATAAATGAAGTAGAGTAAAAAGTACAATATAGTATAAGCAGCATATAGGCGTAAAAGTAGCTAAAATGGAAACACTTACTGTACATAAAATTAAAGTATGTCAACATTCCTACTTAAAGGTACTTACACTCCAGCACTACTGTAAAGTGTGGTCCAAAGTCTATCTAATTAAGACATTAACTGCAACAAAAAAGAGAAATATATGAAATGCAAGTCCAGACTTTGAGCTTTTCTGTCATAAAAGGTATTTTATTGCATCCACCCTATTCCCACATGATGGTCACATTAGATCCAGCGTGTTATGTAGTAAAATCACACTTTTCTGATGTCTGTTGTGAAATCAGACTTTTATACATAGAATTGTAACTGAAATGATCCACTCTACAATTAGCAGACGATAATTACTGGGGAAAAAAGAAAAGAAATCCTTATAATAAAATATCCAGTGACAATCCTAAAACATCATTTCATTTTTAACTGCGTTGGTTCCAGAGCGCTAGAAAATTTACCCCAGTACACCAAACTGCAGGCTTGTTCATTCACATATAGAGCCTTTGAGATCATTTGAGGTCATTTAGTAAGAGTTTTATATTCCTCAATTTCTACAACTGTACCAGAGCTTTAATGACTGTGGCAAGCCTGGTTACAGGAAGGAACAATAATAGGCTATTGAGAAGGCACCTACATTCACAGATGATGAATGTATTAATTTACTTTAAGTTAGCTTCGGCTGGCATTGTCCCAGACACCAACAGGGTTTGCTAGAAAGGTCTGACTGTGCTGAATCCAGCAATATGTGTCACGTAACTGTAGCAGGTATGGTCAGTGGTCTACATTAAGAAATGTATGACGAGTGCCATCAAAATTAAACTGCTATAAATGGCTAGTCTGTGGTCAATAAAGGGACTACAGAATACACTTCAATAAGGAGATATTGTATCAGACAAGTCATTGAACATGTGCAAAGTGTTAAAGTAGAATGTATCTTCTATCTGATTATTTTTTGGCTTTTGGATTTGAATCCACCTGCTGTGCAGAGAAACCATCCTGAGCCAGAACAAAAGTCACAGTACTTTATCCCAGGAGTAAAACGTTGTCCTTGAAACCTCCAGTAATAGGCACATCCTTTCCTTTCCTATCTTGGCTAACTAATCTGCTAACATTAGTGCCTTACATAAAAGGAATGTAGAATATTATACCTGAATATTGAAGCATTTCTTGAACAGAGGACTATAAGGAGAGCAGTTCATTCACAAACACATAGAATCAACTCTGCATTAAATTGGTTGAATAAACCACGTCAATATCACTTAATAAGGACTCTTGACACATGATTTTCTTGGAAAAGGATGTTTATATAAAAGAAAAGAAGATTCCCATGACACAGAGAGAAGGCTGATGAGGATTTCCCATAAATTACATTAGGTACAGTATTTTTCAAAATGATGCATTACAGATCTGAACGCACTTTGATAAATCATTAAAGTTGATCATTGGTTGTTTGTTGTTTGGTTGTATGACATTGAAAAAGAGACACTTGTTGAAATTAGTGTTTTTGCACCAATAAAGCTGTCATATTGTCTGTGTGCTCCAGAAGTCATTAGTCTGTGTCTGACCATAACACCATGTTATATTACCATTACTGATGAGAAATTCTGTATCTGTGTGTGTATGGTCTGGCATACAGTTAAATGCAATAAGGTTTTTTTTGTGTATTCTGGTAGCTGTCCTATTTGTTCAACATAAAATACTAAAACAAAGATGAACAACAAACAAAAAGACTGAACTTTAGTCGACTTTCATGGCTTGTGGTGTAAAGCTAAACTGAATACTTTATCTTGGTTATAAAACATAAAATAAATATTTTATGGCTCAAACAACAATAAATAATCATCATACATATCAAGCAGCAGTAATACTGTACCTTATGGTACCCGTTTTAATGGCTTGCCTTCTCCATTCAGGAATAACAGAAAACCTTTATTTTTATAGTAGGCTTACAGTATGTGACGGCCAATCATGGCTTCCAGTTTCTATCTCTACTAAATAATAGTACAGCTCTATTCAATGCTCATGTAAGATGTACAGAAAAGTGTGTAGCTTTTGGTAATGGATCTCTTATCCTGTATTGAATTTTTGTACGGAGAGAAATCTGTGTACTGCTGGACTTAACACCACTGTAAAACATCAGTAAATATGGATCAACAGAGACCCAACCAAACTTGTAGTGTACACAGTAGCACAAAGGATGATGGTGCTATGGTGGTTATTCTTAACAATGCTGTTAGTTTGTTGAAGTAAAACCTCATACTAACCAATCATATTACAACATGACAAACAATTAGCCCCCTGAAGACACGCCCAAAAAAAAAAAAAAAAAAATCACCATTACAGATCATAAACCGTTTTCACGCAGTTCCCCTTACTGTTAATTACACTACATGGCCAAAAGTATATGGACACCCAAACATTGCACCCAAGCTTATTTCAAAACCACGGACTATAACATGTTACTATAACAACCTCCACTATTTTGGTTTCAGGCTTTCCACCAGATGTGTCCAGATGCCACAAGAACAATAGTGAGGTCCAACACCACAAGTTCTTCTACACCTAACTGGACAGACTTTATGGACCTGGCTTTGTGCACAGGGGCAAGTTGCAACAGGAAATACTGTAAAATGTTGCCTTAAAGTTGGAAGCTCACTATTGTCCAACATAGTGCTGTTGGGGCTGCAACTAACAATTATTTTCATTATTGATTATTTCTTGACTAATTTTGCTTATTAAAATGTTGACCTGATGCTTCATTGTTTTGAATATTAATCCACTAATTGCTCTTTAAAGAATGTTCTTTGGAACTAAGGGGTTTAGCCCAAAGCTGGCTGTATGTTGCAATCTTTTTTTATCTTGCTGACAGAATTTTTTTTTAATCCAGATGGTTTGAAGAGTCTTTGAGGATTCAGGAAATACCTTCAGAACAGCTGTAAATGTTATTAATTGATCCTCTGGGTCTTCCAAGGTGCTATATGCTACGCTTAGCTCTGTGACTAAATAGTAATATTTAAGAGGAACAAACCCCACCATGAAAAGCAATGGGCATATAAGCATTGTGAGCAGTGTGTGTACATACTTTTGACCATATAATGTAATTCAGAGTGTTCGTCATAACACTCAAACTAGATACAGTATATAACTTAATTTTCTATCATTATTACATGTTATTAATATAGATATGGTCACAGACCAGTAGGCGAAGTGTGCATGTTCATATGATTCAGCTTACAGTATTCTGTTAAAACTGTACAGTAAAAGAATAGATCATTCTGGGAAAAATAGTCTATGGGATGTGTGAAGACCACAGATTTGCACTTCGAGTTCAAGAATACAAGGAATAAAAAAAACTATTCAATGCTATATTAATGAAGGGCACAGATGGTAAACTACGTGGAGAGATGCCGCTGTGGACGCGTCGGATATGGATAAAGCCACTAATATCAAAATCTGCACTTTGTCATTAGATATCCGACTCAGGCTTCATTAGGAATTTCTAACTGCATACCGAGGATGTAGACAAGAGTCGATACTGAGGAGAATAAAAGTGTGCCCTTCCAAACGCCACCGTGTAGCCCTTCACCATTCTCAATGGTCGGCCCATATTTGGTCTTCAAAAGTCTGATCATTTTGCCTGTTTATCATGTATAAAAAATATAACATCAACACACAAACAACAAAGTCCAGCTGGAAGTCAGTTGGATATTGACACTTTAAATTCCAGTTAAGGTCTGATTTGTTTTTGGTATGGAATGAAAAAAGGGGAGGGGAGGGGGATTGTTAAAGTCTGGGAGGATAAAGACTCAAGGATGTAAATAATACAGCTGCTGTTACCTGATTGTGCTTTTCCCACCTCCTGAGGAAGTGTTGGGGGCATAGAGGATTAGTGATATAAATACTCTGTATCTACTAAATCTCAGCAGTTGAGGCTCAATGACATCCACTGAGGGAAGGACGAGGGGAGAAAAATAAGAGCAGGAGCCAAAATGGCTGATCAGTAGTCTGGAAAAAAAGTCTGAGTGACTGGGTGTATTGCACGTCAGTTCGCATACAGCGAGGGAGCTGGACGTCTTTAACTTGCCTTTGTGGGCTGAACGCTGTTTCCTCTGATATTTTGAGACTGTTAAAGGGAGCAGCTGTCAGGAAAAGGTTGACAAAAAATGAAGAAAAAAAAAAGGCTGTCATCCCCCTCTGCTTGGGATCTACTACATCTGGGAACTGCGCACGAACGGCTACTTAGATATTTTTGACAGAGGAGTGTGCGTACCTGCCGCACAGCAGCCAAACTCCCCAAACTCCATGGTCCTGAAAACTGACAATGGGAGCAAGATAAAAGGAAAAAATTTACTCCTCTTGGGGTCATTTTACACCAGCTGACATCTCAGTTTCATTTCGTACTGGTCAGAGCTGGTGTTGCTCCAGAGGAGTCCGGTGCTAGCCCAGCTGTATCTGTCCAGAGAAGGTGGTGAGGAGGAGCATGATGGCGAAGCCTGTCAGCAGGCCAGCGTTCTGGATGGCAAAGGTGAGGAGGAAGCTGCTGCCGCCCGCATCCTCTTCCTCACGACTCACCTCATTCATCTCTGGAAACTGAGAAGCACAAAACAGAACGCTGTTGTTTATTATAATTATCTAAATAATCGTATATAAATAGATCCGATCAAGAGCACATGCACCCTTAAAACACATCAAACACTGACCATGTCTGCCAGAGCGATGTAGAGGAACATTCCCCCTGCCAGGGCAAAGATCCAGTTGGGGGAGAAGCTGTTGCCAGCCAGGATGCCAAAGCCCATGCCCAGGTAACAGCAACAAGCCGAGAGGAAGTTAAAGAAGAGAGCTTGCTGTATGCTCATTCCAGCGTTCAGCAGGATCACAAAGTCTCCTGGTAACAGAAAGAGAGGGAGAGCGACATAGAGAGAAGACAATGTATTAAAGAGCTGTCGGTGCAAATCTATGTTAAACTGCAGATTTCTGCCAGGCACTGATGTTTCAAGAAGAGAAGAAGACCAATTTCTTATACTAAACACACAAAATGAAAATCACTTGAACGAATAAGGAGATTTACTTCACAGGGTTTCTGCAGGTTTCGAAAGGTTCAACTTAAGTCTTTGTAAGACCTTTTTATAAACATTATGAATGCAATTTAAGACAGATTTCACACCCATACTGGCAGAATAAGTACACAGGACATGAAGGTCACTGTCAGTATTGTTTCCATGTCAGTTATATTTTGTCACAGTAGGATCAATCCAAATTTGTCCCCAAATAAATAAATAAATAAATAAATAAATTATATATATATA